CTTCATGTTGTAGAACAAGAAAATGCTGGTTTATTTTCAAAAAACCAGTAGATTTCTTGAATTGGTTTCTACATATGCACATCCTAAAAACACAGAAGTGCCTGAAACTCAAATGGGTTTTCATCTGTATAAAAGGGTGAGTGAGAAGTTTTTCAGAGCTGCATGCATGGTCTGAAGGCAGTAATGTCATACTCAGCAGCTGTGGTAAGGCAGAAGCTCTAAGGAGTTGGTGTAATCCTCACAAACATGCAATGAATACTGTAGGCAGCACTTTCACCATCAGAACTTCATTTAACACAGCACTGTGTAACACTTGTGGAAGGCACAGGCCAGAATTTGGGTCTGCACTGTTACATATGAATGGTAAGTGCAGAATTTAGGGAGCAGGAGTAAGCAGGAAAGGAATAAGCAGTAGCAGAAGTAAAGGAAAGCTGATTTTAAAGCCTAGAAATGTGACTGATCGCCAGCTCTATATCGTTCTTTGTGCCAAAAGTATTTGTCTAGCAGCATTAAGCATCTGCTTGCCTGTTTCACACAGATGCTGTAAGTAGAATTTGACCTTTTGTTCAGAAAGTGTTTGAATATTTAACGTGAAAATATTAAGTTATCAGAAAGGCTGACTCTTCTGGGAAGGCTGTTCAATTTTTATACAGCCCAAGTTGTGAAAGTACTTTGGAGCATGAACAACTTCAGAGCAGAACAAAGCAGGCAGTGCTAATGTGTAGAAACTCCAGAAGTAAATAACAGCTGTTCAAGAAGACTTCTATTAAATATGTATTAATTAACTTGAAGTGCATCACTTAAATATGTGAAGAGATTATCTTGTGTTAATTTACATTAAAACACACAGCACTTGTTAGCCTCATTACACCATCCTAAGTATATCCTAAGCTATCACCTCATCTTACACTGAGCATTTTGTTGGGTGTTGATTGCTTTCGATTTGCCCTTTTGAAATGTCAGAGAGTGGCCTCCCTTTCTTCTTGGATCTCTTCTTCCTCTCAGGTTTTGCTCTTGCATAGTTACTCTTCTTACTTGTGTCTGTTCTGTGCTGAGCAGAAAAAAAATAACAATACCCTGTGAAAATATAGTAGTGATTTCCCACCCAGACTTCAGGTGTGGTCCCTGCTGTTAACTTATGAAGCAGCAGAGAGAATGTATGTGTTGGTTGGTGTAACAAAATGACTTTGCATGAAGGTTCAGTATCACCTTTAGAACAGGAAAGATACCCAGTAAAATGGGATGTCTTTAGTGAAATGAATAAAACTCACTGGTAGTAATAGACTTTGTGATCTCAATCTGTGTATAAATCTCAGTAAACTTTCATTCCATTCATAAAACTTAGGTATTGTTATCTGGACATGATAAGACAAATGGTTTTTTACCTGTTTTGGTGCTGTAAATGTATAAACTTGTATTACTTATGGATGATTTTCAGAGATTTTCTTAAGTGTCATTTTGGCAACAGCTCCAGCTGCCAAGGCTGTTCTTTCAGCCCAATATTTTGACTCTGCACACTCCTTGATCACAAGTTGGATTCCAGTTCTTGTTTCCCACACCTGCTCCAACACACTCCTCACTAAGGGGAGACTGAGAAATGCAAAGAACTTGCAGGAAGGGCAAATGAAACCAAAATATTTGGCTTGAGCAAATCTTAAGAGTCCATGGCAAGTTGTTTTGTTGCATGGCTCTCCTGAGACAAGTGAATTGAGGATGTTTGCAGGAGTTTCAGCTTGTTTGCAGCTTTTCAGTTAAGTCTTTGTGAGTTTGCATCAGGGTTGTGTTTTCTCTGCTGGTATGTGTGCTTAGGGAGACATTTCTTCCTAAATGAAAGCTGACATTTTGCAGGATAATTATGGCAATATGAGAGGTGATGCCTGTAGAAAAAGAATCCAGACTTGGAAGTCACAGCTCTTTGGTTCAAGAGCAGATTTAGATGTATGTATCTTCAAAAGGAAACCTTTAAAGTCGATTTAACTTAAACCTTCCCTTATTTCCTGCACCTCTGTCTTAACATCCAATTAGTGTTTGCTCTGCTGAGGAATGAAGTTGAATTTAGGAGCAGATTTTTTTTTTCCTTCTGCATTTGCAGTGCTTATGTCTGCGACCTACAGGCAATATTTTTCAGTAAGGGTGGAGAATTGGGGTGAAATATTCTTTTTGTGGGCTGAAAGGCCATGGTGTGTAGTAGAATTGACCCTCCACTCTGTGGTCTCCACTGCAGAAATACCATCAGAACTTAAAACCCTTCAGAGAGTGACAGAGCTGGATTGGCTTAGAGGTGTCAGGAAAACCTACCCAGTTATCTCCCTGGTTTTATAAGAACCTGGGCTTGCACTGGGGCTTGCAAGAAATTGTTCATGTTGAAATATCAGGCAATTTATCTCCATTTTTTCCCCCAACACTTAACTATTTTTTGACAGTGACAAGGATTATTGGATCCCCTGAGCACTCGTTTTAGGAATGAAAAGCTTATTTTCCTTAAGATGTCTGTTAAAGACCTGTGCTAGGCATGGTAACTTCAGTCACATTGTTCTCCTATGGTGCCTGGTTAGGAATCTTCTGTTGAAAAGTCCATAGCTGGTCAGAAATTAGGGTGAAAATGTTGCATAGTTTCCTGACTTCATCTCTCAGTAAGACTTTGGCACTTGCTCACTCAGGTCCAGACAGATTTATTAAATACTTTCCTTGGACAATTCTTCATCTGACAAAGTTACTACTTGCCTATGTGGTATCTCAGTGCCTTTGGGGCCCTGAAGTGTTCCAGTTTTCATAGATGAGTCCCTTGCTCACAGTCACAGAACCTGCTCCTTCTGTCAACCTCTGCAGGTTTGCAGCATATACAGGAAAACAAAGTCAGGATCACAGAGTCATTAAGGTTTGAAAAGACTTTAGAGATTGAGTCCAAGTGTTCCCCCATCACTACCAAGGCCACCACGAAACCACGTCCCTAAGTGCCACTTCTACATGTCTTTTACATCCCTCCAGGAATGGTGACTCCACCACTGCCCTGGGAAGTTTGTGCCAATGCCTGACTACCCTTTCAGTGAAGATATTTTTCCTAATGTCCAACCTAAACCTCCCCTGGCACAGCTGAGTAAGGCCAGATGGGTTTTAGTGAAATGGTGAGAGTAGTAGATGCTTTTTCACCCTGATCTTTAAATGCACTGAAAATTTTAGGCAGAAAAAAGTCTTCCTGCAGTGCTAGCAGGAAAGCCTTTCACACGAAGCAAAAGGGTTGCAATTCACAACATAATCCGTTTCTTTACTTACAGTTTGAAGCTTTAGAAGTAGTGGAGCTAAGGAGAGCCTAAGATGTTCCTTGTTAAACACTTAAGGATAGGAAAAGATGTGTGAGGGTAATTATCTTGATTAAAAAATTGGTTCATCTTAGGTATTTTTCAAGGTGTCAAAAAGGGATTTTGCTGGTTTGGGCTGAAACTACTGTCTGTGTTTAACTCCTCTCCTTCCTGTCCCTGTCAAATTTTCACCAATGTTGTTCAGTGTCAGACAGCAAATATTAGTGTTTCATAATTTCTTTTTTCAAAGGACATCACTGTTGAAATGAACGGGACAGAGATGCTCTTTGGTGTGGAGATTACTGTGTTATTGGGTGTTTTGAAAGTTTGACTTTGTGCTGCTGTCACTGTATGAGATGTGCCATGTCATACTGCTATCAGAAAGAGGCCACAAAGCAGAGGACACTGGAATCATGGTTCATACAAGTGTAGGAGGAATCCCAAATTCAGCAGTAAACGAGGATGAAAAGGAAGGCAGTACAGTAAGGACAAGAAAAGATGCTTAAGTTTCCTGCAGTTCCTGCCTCATTGTTCATTCCAGCTTCCTGCTTTTTCAGTCTGCTCCTCCAGCCTTTCTTGTGTGTGTACATGGATTATAATATGCAGAAGACTAAGAATAAGCTGAAGGCAGAAACTGACTTAATGAAGACATTCTTGTGATAGAGAAAAGATTTTGTTGTCCGCAGATGCGCAAAGGAAAATAGCAAAGCAGCTGCCCTGAGAAATGGAGGAAAAGTAGAGCTGAGTGCCACGTCATGATGCTTCAGGCAAAGTTTTGTGTGCTGAAAGTCTCTGAGAGCTTCTGTACTGTTGTACAAAGGATATAACCAAGAGGTGAAACAATAAGCTGCTGTAAGTCTCATGTCTTAGGTACTGTCCCCAGTAGTGTTGACTTTCTGTCAACTTTCAGATGGCAAATAAGGATAAAAGGAAATAGCTTTCAACTCTTCTATTAGGGGTGACAATAATCAGTTTTGTGTCAAAAATTTCTGTTTCCTTAAGACCAAGCTAGAGAGGTATAGTCATGCACTGTCATCTTGCAGAGGAGGATTCTGAAGGGCAGAGGTCCTCAGCTCATTAGTTTCCATTTCTCCTCTGCAGGGAGTTAGTTTGTCTGTTCTGAAAACCTTCGTGGGCAGAGACAGCTAAAGGTGGTAGAGAAATTTGTGTGGCAAGTGGGTGGGTAGGTGAGGTGAAGTGGAGCTGAGATACAGAACCAAGGGAAGGTTTCTGGGTCACTTGGCCTGCAGAATTAAGAAACTTGGGATGTAGTTGAGCAGCAAGAAGTTATGGAATATCTGCACTA